ACACCATCTCCTAGTCCTATCAACAATATATCCTAGTCCTATCAGCACCATCTCCTAGTCCTATCAACACCATCTCCTAGTCCTATCAACAATATATCCTAGTCCTATCAGCACCATCTCCTAGTCCTATCAACACCATCTCCTAGTCCTATCAACACCATCTCCTAGTCCTATCAACACTATCTCCTAGTCCTATCAACACTATCTCCTAGTCCTATCAACAATATATCCTAGTCCTATCAACACTATCTCCTAGTCCTATCAACAATATCTCCTAGTCCTATCAACACTATCTCCTAGTCCTATCAACAATATATCCTAGTCCTATCAACATTATCTCCTAGTCCTATCAACACCATCTCCTAGTCCTATCAACACCATCTCCTAGTCCTATCAACACTATCTCCTAGTCCTATCAACACCATCTCCTAGTCCTATCAACACTATCTCCTAGTCCTGTCAACACTATCTCCTAGTCCTATCAACACCATCTCCTAATCCTATCAACACTATCTCCCAGTCCTATCAACACTATCTCCAGTCCTATCAACACTATCTCCTAGTCCTATCAACACTTATCTCCTAATCCTATCAACACTATCTCCTAGTCCTATCAACACCATCTCCTAGTCCTATCAACACTATCTCCTAGTCCTATCAACACTATCTCCTAATCCTAACATTCATCATTAGTATAAAAGATGATACATCAATTCCCTTAACAATTTTAAACACCTCAGTCAGATCCTCTCTTAACTCTTCATTTTTCCTCATATGACAACCCTTTCCAACAGTTCAGTGCCCTTCCTAAGGTAAGGAACCCAAGAATGTACACAATACTCCAAATGTGGCCTAACCAGTGACCTATACAATGAAATTGTAACCTCTTTAGACTTGTATTCAATATTTCTCTAGATAGAACATAAAATTCTATTTGTCCTACGACTAGCAACAGTTCACTGCTTGATGGTTTATTTAACTGATCAACCAGAACACCAAGTTCTGCATTAGCTTTTCTAAGTGTTATGGAAAGATACATTAGCCTTTCTAAGTGTTATGGAAAGATAGAACTTGACAGTAACCAACATTAGCCTTTCTAAATATTATGGAAAGATAGAACTTGACAGTAACCTAGATAGAACTTGACAGTAACCAACATTAGCCTTTCTAAGTGTTATGGAAAGATAGAACTTGACAGTAACCGCCTTTCTAAGTGTTTATGGAAATTAATGTAGGTTACTGTCAAGTTCTATCTTTCCATAACACTTAGAAAAGCTAATGTAGGTTACTGTCAAGTCCTATCTTTCCATAACACTTAGAAAAGCTAATGTTGGTTACTGTCAAGTTCTGTCTTTCCATAAAACACTTAGAAAGGCTAATGTTGGTTACTGTCAAGTTCTATCTTTCCATAACACTTAGAAAGGCTAATGTTGGTTACTGTCAAGTTCTGTCTTTCCATAAACACTTAGAAAGGCTAATGTTGGTTACTGTCAAGTTCATTCGTTCCATAAAACACTTAGAAAGGCTAATGTTGGTTACTGTCAAGTTCTATCTTTCCATAACACTTAGAAAGGCTAATGTTGGTTACTGTCAAGTTCTATCTTTCCATAACACTTAGAAAGGCTAATGTTGGTTACTGTCAAGTTCT